GGGCTTTAGAATAGAAAGTTAGGAAAATGCCTCACTCACCTAGCAGCACCATAAAAGCATAACTCATGTACTTTTTCTCCTTTTTCATAGATTTCATGTCCAATCCGCTGCCACCACCCAGACTGCTCATATCGCCCGAATCTTTGCCCAATGTTCGGGCCCCGCCCAATTCCAGAGCAATCACATGCGTCTGGAAAAAGTTCTGGACTGCCTGACTGAGACGATCGAACCCTGTAACGCACCAATCAGGCCAGGTAATTGAGAGTGGTTAGTCGCACATTTGTGGCGAAACGTTGCCGACATTCGGTTGCAACCCAAAACTGAATATCTAGGTTTTAATTGAGTAATATACCTAATAACCTTGCTTGTCGTCGGTTGATCGTTTCATTGTTTCGGGCCAAACTGAGTCCATCTAGAATGGAGACGTTCCAGTCCATTGCTCTTTCCACTGCTCCAGCCGCTTTCTCCGACATGCAGGAATAACTGAAAAACTGAAACTTTCGAATCCTTCTGGACGAAATGGCGAGCGATTCGCTCTTACCTTTCGTTGCTTTGCAAACACTCACTAATAACACGTTGCACGACATTTAATCCATTGGAATCGCAATATCCACTGATCACACACACACTAACAAAAACACTGAGTTGCTTAATCCACATTCTACGTTCTTGGCTGGACGTGCGATAGAAAAATGCAAAATTTCCGCGCTGATATTTATTAAATACCCTATTTATGGCTAATTAAAGATGCATCTTGCATATGGGCACGCAACACGCACAAAACTGCTTGAATTTTCTCACTTTTGTCCGAGATGTTTCAGCGAAGAAATTAGGAAAATGCTCGCACGTGAGTTTGCTCAATGACCGCATTTTTGCGTTAATGAAACTACTTTTATTGAGAACAAGACGGTTTCCATTATAAGGCACGAAAACAATGAGCACGTCCATAATAATTCAAAGAAACTTTCCAAACTCGGGTTTGATCAGTTTCTACTTGCTTCACTTATTGATTAAAATACGGAGAGCATCAAATATAGTAATTTTCCTCGCAGAACATTCAGCAAGAATTATTTATAATTAACTCGCAAAAAAACCAGTTGTAAGAGCTTTCTGGTGTTAGTTTCTAGCTGCTCTGGACGCGGTTAAAACCTTGATAAAAGTCTCATTCGTTAAGTGAATTACAGAACTCAAAAAGATTTGGACCATTCTTGGACCAACACATACTATTTAGCTTAGCACTAAATTATGAATGATTTTTATTCATTAACGAGTGGAAGATTTCGCTTCCTTGGTAGAATCGCGCTAAGTTCTCGGCGCATAAAACACTAATCATTTGACCTGGAAAGCTGAAAATTTCACTCCTGAATGGGGCATTCAATAACGCATTTTTTTCTGTAGAACATAAATTTTTGAAAACGCTTTGGTTGTCTCATAAAAAGTCAAACTTAAAATCCGGTATTTCCACACATTGCAAGCAATAATTTGTTGTTGATCGAAGCCGTATTTGTGCTGAATGAGGTCATTTCAATTAATTAAACGCCATGACGTCGCTTTAAAACCGAAACGCTAAATATACAATTTCTGGTATTTGAGAACAATGCAAACATTTGAGTGCAAATATGATAATGCCGATAAACAATTTTTATTTACATTAGCGAAAAATCCCATTCCTTTTAGCTGAACACGACAATAATTCATAAACCCAATGCATGCTTGCGCCACTGAATAACAGCATGTCCGAACTGGTAGCGCGCAATTAAACACGGTTTACCCGGTTTCGATAAATCCACGTGATTTATTTTAATTTTCAAACCGAAACTATGCGCTCCGTTTCACTTTATGCAATAAGAAGCGCATTAAACGAAACCGCTGTAGGTTCCTTGTCCCGTATTTGCGACTGGGATCAGGACAGGATTGAAATAATCACTTCAAAAGCTGTAGGTGACTTTATTTCAATAACAATTGAAACTGGCTCAAGAGCAACAAAAAAACAGCAGCTTATAAACTATGTCGTACACGCGATTTAAAACATTCTATTTGCCACAAGCCGCGCTTTTTTTATTGGTAACAATTTGAACAAGATCTAGACTTTGGCAGGCTTATTGTAATCGGAAGTTGAACTCTCCAGGCTTGCCAGGGAAGTGGCTGTGGATATTCCATCAGGAAGCGTCAATCGGATCTTATCCAAATCACTTGCCCCTTCAATGCGAGGCTGAGTAGGATGAGACATTGTGGGTGCTAATTCGTTTTCTGCATGTGCAGCTACAAGCTGAATGCAAAAAATTGGCTCAGTTAATCACTGTTAAATTTGCTATAAAAACAGCAAGCAAGAACGTCTTTTGCTAGCCTGCAAAACATGTTTCCATTCGTCTTGCCCATACAATGAAATTGAACGACTAATCATGTTTTACCATGCAAAGCTTGCAAGTTTAAACTCATGCATTGCGTGGCACATTGTGAAGATGGACGGTTAAAGCGACATGCCTTATTAAGACCCATAGATAGCAGTTATACTTAACTGGAAATTATTGAAAAGAAGCAAAAGTTTAAAGTTGCACGCGTTGGCAACCCTAGAAGATAAGAAAATCGGCTATTGAAAGAAATGCGAAACACCCTGTCTAATTTTAAATGAAAATCGTTAACTGAAAAGTGATGATAAATGAAGTCACATACTCCAAAGGTCAATATTTCTTTAATTAGCTGATAAATAATGCCACAATAAACTCAGTGATACCGAATTCATTTAGGTTGTATTTGGCTGTGATCATCCGACAACAACATTGTTATTTATTACCACGCAAGTATTAATTGGCACAATATCACTGCGGTGTCGTAAAAAAGTTAATCAATAACCATAAACCATTGCCAATTAACTGAATTGCCTTGAGGTTAATTGCTTTCGACAAATTTCCCTAATAAACTAAAACCCAACAATTTACCTGAATGAGTTCTTTTTGCGATCCCTTGGCCTCCAACAGGAAGACACTCTCCTTCACCTCCTTGCTTGAGTATTCGTGAATTTTGTCGTAAATCACACCGTGAAGACCGAGTTCTTTCAGGAACTTGATGGTGGCAGGATCGGCGTTTTCATCGCCCCAGCAGAAAATCACCAAATTCAGCTCTTTGGCCAGCTGAACCTAAACAGTGGAACCAATTTAAAACATTCCAATTTGTAGAGAGTTTACGGCGAGCCTTTCAAACTGAAAACAAGTTTTTGGGGGTTGATTGGTTTTGCCCGATGAAATAGCACCAAAGGATGGTTGAAATTGTGTGATTGCTCAAGACGAAAATCGAAGATAACATGACAAATATATACAGGGTGTTTTTTAATATTGAGGTCTTTATAGGCGGATTGAGGGGCAAGATAGCAATAAATGGGAATTGATGGAATTCATTAAAATTGGGAAAGTAGCACAAAAAACAATGTTGCAATTGATATCATCAAAAAGTCGCAGATTGAGAAGAAACTGTCTCGTTCCTCATGCTATCAGGCCCGATTTTTTGGTAAAAAATCTGCAACTATTGTATTGGTACTATTGCATCGAAGGGTGCAACAATAAAAAAGTTTTCTATGTGGCTACAACTTAAGAAAACATACTGTATATATCTCTACACACACAGCCCAAGTGAACACCCTGCAGAAGCGATGGAGAAGGATGGATGTAAATGCGAAGATTCAGACAAATACTGCATTAAACCCCAACTAATTACTAACGAATAATCAATCCAGAGCAAAACAAGCATTCCCTCAACACATCATCCACTTAGCCTCAAGTTGCAAGTAAAATTTCTTGAGGAGAGCAGTTGTTTAGTGACCATCAAGATCGCAACAAAAACAGCAAAACTAAACTGTTCACTTTTGAGTGAACCAATGATCATGACAAAAATGAAAATTTCCTTAAAACAATTGAGCTTATTGGGAACAACATTCAAAACACTGCACACGATGCACAGAGATAATCTAATAGGCCGAGCATCCTGTTACTCTAACTAGAACATCCGCGTAACAAAACAAATCGGTTTAATCTCCAAGCATCATGAAGCACCCTTCGTTAAGTCATATAAAAATACAAAATCGTTTTTTTCGAAAAACCAATTGATGATTAAGCAAAATAAAACCTACCAGTGAAGGATGCCTCAACAAATCTTCAGTATGAACATTGATACCTAAAATCTCAATCATGGTGGCATACTGGCTGGCCGCCTTTATCGACCAGCATCTCGGATCTGCATATCTCGGGTAAATCTCGCTCTCTCCAATTGTTAAAAACATTACTGGATATTTATTTTGTTTTAAACGAATTACTTGGCAGATATCGGGATTGAAACACGAAAAAATTATTCTCCTCTCTCCACCATGCCTGAGAAGAAACAACACAATGTTCTCATATCTCAAAGATCGTGCAGAGCGAAGGAAAATAATTAGCTGCGCTCTACCGCAATAACTCTAGGCAACTAAGCAAAGTCTACATCAGAGCCCAGAAAACCCTAAAATACTACAATGAATACTCACTTCATCGCCACTTCCAGAATTGTATCCAAGTACAAATTTAAATCGGTTGGATGGTACAGCTCGTAAGAGCCATCCGCCAACTTCATCGTCCACTTGATTTCAATATTAAACCCTACATGGGGATTCAAGGTATCCAGAACATGCTGCAGAGTGGGGAATGGCTGATGGTCCTCCAAGTCTTCGTCAAAGAACCTCTGGTTCTTTGACTTGCCCTCTGTTAAGTGGTAAACCTGAAAATGCCATTTTGAAAAATTCACTTCAAACTCCATGAGAGCAGTACCTTGAGCAATCTGAGCTGCTCCAAAGTGAGCTCCTTTAGTGGAATCTCCAGCATATCCTGATCTTCAATATCCCGCTTCTTTTTCATGGAAATGCACACATGAAAATCGTGGTAGATTATAGGCACTAAATCTTTACTCAGTTGAACATCAAATTCGACAAAATCTGCCCCATGATCAATGGCATTTTTTAAGGAAGCTATAGTATTTTCCCGTACTTCCGCGCAATTTTGAACTTTGTTTTTAAAGCTGGATCCTGACCCTCTATGCCCGACATCTAGGCCTGCTCTGGTCTTCTTCCAATGACGGGCATAGGAAATACTCAAGTCGCATTTATAATTGGGCATCGCCCCAATCACTAGATAATCAACGCGCAATTCTCCCAAAGGCCTGTGCTTTGTACTGGTAACTGGCAAAATTATGTTGCCTTCTGAGGACTGTAAAGCCGTAGGCAACAAGTAGCTAAATCCCGCATGGTAAGGAGGCTCACTTTCGTCTGCTCTAGAGGAATAAATATAGAAATCGAATAAATAGGCGGTGTTTTGAGGAAACACTACGGTGCTCTGGAAAGTTAGCATATCATCCTTTTTTATGGCGGTGCCAAACTGGCCTTGCGGCTTGAAACTTGGGTCATCATCAAGCAGAGCGGCCACCTCAGTGAAGGAAAATTTGGCATTCTCCACACCATCCTGGGTGTCGCTCAGCGACTCATCCAAAGCATCCGACATCGATATCGGCAGGTTTGAGGCATGCCTTTTTAAGTTAATCGGCGTCACTTTAATAAAAACCTGCCGACCCGCGTACTTTGGCCTCCAAATAGTCAGAGGATCGCTGCCCAGCTTCAGCTGAACCACTGTCTCCTTACTGAGCCAGCCCCTATCAAAACGCTCGCTGTTTGCGTAAAATCCGTACGTCTGAACCTCATCTTCCATTGTTGGAGATTTTTCCGAATAATCTATTCCTCTAGGCTTCACATTGGTTTCCCAGCTTCTGACTATGACCTGAATGCCGCTTTCGATGATAACACACACGCAGTATCGATACTCAATCTTCCGTTTATCCGGAATTTCTACTACAGCAGACCAGATGTCTGTGTCGTCTTCCTGCTGCAAAGCCACACACTTCTCGGGCACCCAAGCGCCCAACTCTTTGAGATCGCCCACCACGCATACTGATTCATCTTTCTTCAACTGGGGCACCCTCACTCGGAACAACCAATGTCGAGGGGTGTATTGGAAGGATGTAACCGATCCAGAGCTACTTTCTGCATCTCCCTTTCCCGATCGGATGGCTGCGTTTTCGGGGTCTTCCAGGAAAAACCACCGCTGCATTTTTGGCTAAGTTCGCAAGTAACTAGTCTACAATGACTGCGTTCCACGCAAAAGGGGCTTAAAAGGAAAAAGTTCTC